CGTTCTTTCCTGCCGCTCCGTGCGGTTTCCCCGCATTTTTTTCCAAAAATAGGTCGTTTTGAGGCTCAGTGGAAATGAGTTTATTTTCTAACCTCCTTTTGGGTCCTTTTCGGGGCTGGGGGACAGTGGGGTGACAAAGGGGGTCTGGGGGACCTGGAGGGTGGTGGTGGGGGAGGGACCTGCTTGGGGACAGGTGGAGTTGGGAAGGTGGTGGCCACCAAAGGACCTTAAAAAAGGGTGGCAACAAAGGTAGGAGAAACACCAGGGCAAAAGCTGGCGAGGTGAGTTGGTGAGTTGGCCCATGTCTTGGGGACATCTTCTACCCCCGTGTCACCTCTCTAGAGGGTTGGGAAGGGTTGTGGGGGGCTCGAGGGGTGGGGACACCTTGGTGGCTGGTGGCCCTCTGGTAGGGTCTCCAGGCTGGGAGAGCCGGAGGGACCTCCCGGTCCTGGCTCGTGCTGGGTTTGGCATCTCGGAGTGGTTTTTGGAATCTGTCACCACTGTCCCCAAGGTGGAGGTGGGGAGCAAAGGAGGGGAGTCCCTCTTGTCTGGTGTCACCATCACCACTTGGGAAGTTCTGCCTCTTTTCAGCTGCGTCCAGGATCTTGAATATTCCTTGAGGAGACCCCCACACCACAACGGGGGCAAGGATGACCCTCCCTGAATACCTGTCCCCATCCTGGGACAGAAGAGAAGCTCTAGGGAGACCTTGGAGCCCCTTCCAGTCCCTCAAGGGGCTCCAGGAGAGATGGGGAGGGACTCTGGATCAGGGAGGGGAGCCCTAGAAGGAGGGGGAAGGGTTTGACCCTGAAAGAGGGGAGATGGAGATGAGATGTGGGGAGGAATTTCTTCATCCTGAGGGTGGTGAGAGCCTGGCCCAGGTTGCCCCGAGAAGCTGTGGCTGCCCCATCCCTGGAGGGGTTCAAGGGCAGGTTGGAGGGGGCTTGGAGCAACCTGGTCTGGTGGGAGGTGTCCCCCCATGATGGAACTGGATGATCTTGAAGGTCCCTTCCCACCCAAACCATCCTGTGATTCTATGACACGTGCCCATGGGGTTGTCACCACCACCAGGTAACCCCACCACCACCAGGTAACCCCACCACCACCACCGTGGTCCCACCATGGACTAAATGGGGAGGGGGGCTGTGTCCTACTGGCTCTGGGGGATTTGCTGGGTGGCAGGAGGTGGCCTGAGGCCATTGCTCCTGTGTCTCCTCCCATGGGGATGGGGCAGGGACCTTCTCGGGGCAGGGACCTTCTCAGGGCAGAGCTTCCACATCTCCAGAAACCCCCCGGTGTGTCAGCGAAGCCTCGGAGACACGTGGCAGCTTTTCTGCAGCCTCAGGAAGTTTTACTGGGAAGGAACCGATCAAAGGCTGGGACGTGCTGATGGACACATCTGGGACAGGGCTTTGGGAGTGACGCCGCTGCGCCCCCAAAATGACAGCACAACCTCCCCCCCCACCCCTGTCCCCAATAGACTCCTGCCCAAAAGTCCTTAGGGTGGTTCGGGGAGGGGGATTCAGGGGGAGGTGGCACTGAGGCTGGCTCTGTGTCCCACTGGTGACATCCCCTTCTCCCAGGGGTTCTCCCTGGCACGGTCCTCACTCCCAAAACCCATCTCTGGTGGTGGTTTGAGCTCCTTCTCCCATGGAGCGAGTCCAGAGAAGGGGGGTTGGTCTCTTCTCCCAAGGGACAGGCCATGGGACAAGAGGAAACGGCCTCAAGTTGCACCAGGGGAGGTTTAGGATGGATATTGGGGAAAAATTCCTTCATGGAAAGGGTCGTCAAGCCTTGGAATTGACGTGGTGGTGTCCCCATCTCTGGAGGTATCTAAAAGGACAGGGTTTAGTGGTGGCTTTGGGCAGTGTTGGGTTGATGGTTGGACTCCATGATGGGAAAGGTCCCTTCCAACCTCAATTCCACAATTCTCTGCATCTCCCTCCCCGTCCCATCTCCTCAGAGCAGCCCAATTCCCTAAGGTACCAAAGAACTTGAACATCCCACCACGGAGAAGCCACCTTGACCAGCCCCGGGCCACCAAGAAGGGGTAAGGGCCACCAAGAAGGGGTGAGGACCACCCCAGCAGGCAGCGACGCTCCCCCCTGCCCACCTCTGCCTGCTCCTGCCTCCGCATCCCCTAAAGCCAGGACAAAAACCTCAATATTTAACACTCTGGGAGGAGGTTCCCTCCATGGGGCTTATTTTTGGGGACAGAAAATGGCTCCTGGGATGGTGGACCCGCAACTTTGTCTGGGGGAAAATAAAACCGTTGGGCACCACCCCCACCTAGGGACTTTTATCACCACAGATTAAAAAAAAAAACAGCTGATTTGGGTTTTTTTCCCCCCCAAAAAACCCGTCCCAGCAAACGTGGCTTTTTCACCCTGGAACCAGTCTCGTAAGAGCCCTGGGAGAACGAGAAACATTTGGAGGAGAAGCAAAACGTTGCCTTTTTGGTATTTTTATGGGGGATATAAAGTTTTTTTTCCCAGGAAGCAGCAAGTCCCCGGGAAAAGCATTTCTATTTTCTTTGGAACCAAAAAAAAAAACCAACAAAGCAGGGCTTTTGGGGTTGGAAAAAGAGGTTTTGGGGTTTGATTTGTTGTGGGTTTTTTTTTTTCGGTTCCTGCCAGGCTCGTAAACGTGGTGGGAGGGAAATCTTTGCAGGGGGGAAAAAGGGGGGGGTTCAGCAAGAATTTGGCTTCTCCCCACCCACCCCCTAAGGGGACGTCCCCATGGGTGTCCTCCCCCTCCCCCTGGGGTGTCTCTGTTCCTCCAGTCCTTATGAAAATAGCTTTTTTTTGGGGTGGGGTGGGCTGGGGGGGACAACCATCTCACCCCGGCACCGGTGTCGCTTCCAGGGAGCTGCCCCTGGAAAATAATGATAAAAAAAAGACTAAAAAGAAGGGATGAAAAGATTTCTAGTCGATTTGGAGCAAAACTCAGCCTAAAAACAACTTAAAAAACCAGAAAAAAAAATAATAATCCAAGGAACGCTTTGTATATATCAGCAGAGCCAAAAGAATTCCTGCAAATAAAAGCTTGGAAAGCTCCAAGCGGCCGCGTTTGCCGCTTCCCCGCATCTGCTGAGCCCAGGAGCTTAAAAGCTTCACCTCCTCTGGCATCTCCTCCCCAAAGAAATGGGAACATCCTCCCCTTGGGCTCCTGCCATCCCCAGCTGGAACCTGGGCTTTATTTAGAAAGGGGAAGGAAAGAAAGAAAAAAAAAAAAAAAGAAAAAAAAAAGCTCTTTCTCCACGGTTCTTACCTCGCTGAAAACAAAATAAAAAAGCCGGGGCCGAGGGGCAGTCACGGCTGGTTTTTGGGCTAAAAGGCTGACATTTTAGGAATGCTTTAGGAATCTGGAAAGGGGGGATTTGGGAGGAAATCCACCGTAGCACAGGGCGGTTTGTGCCAGGAACACCCTGCCCGTGTCACGGCTAAAGAGGGGACGGGACGGCAGCGTTTCCACGGGGGGGTTAAATCCTTCCTCACCCCTGGGGTGCTGGAAAAAGAGGCTGGGGCTCGTTAGCGCCTCTGGAGAGACGTGCTGATGAGTTAACAGCTAATTAAAGGTTAAGAGGCAGTGGGAGTGTGATGAAAAGGCATGGTTGAATCTCTTCCACGGCCGTGTTTTTCCTGGAAAGCCGTGGCGGATCTTTGCAAGGCCAAGTGCTCACACCATCAGGATGGAGAAAGGTCACTGGTGGGATGGAGGAATACCATTGGGATGGAGAAAAGTCACCAGTGGGATGGATGAACACCACCAGGATGGAGAAAAGTCACTGGTGGGATGGATGAACACCATCGGGATGGAGGAACACCATCGGGATGGAGAAAAGACACCAGTGGGATGGAGGAAAGCCACAAGTGGGATGGAGAAAAATCACTGGTGAGATGGAGAAACACCATCAGGATGGTGAAAAGTCACCAGTGGGATGGATGAATACCATCAGGATGGAGGAACACCATGGGGATGGAGAAAAGACACCAGTGGGACGGAGGAAAGCCACAAGTGGGGTGGAGAAAAATCACTGGTGAGATGGAAGAACACCATCAGGATGGAGAAAATCACTGGTGGGATGGAGAAAAGCCATCAGGATGGAGAAAAGTCACTGGTGGGATGGAGAAACACCATCAGGATGGTGAAAAGTCACCAGTGGGAGGAACACCACTGGGATGGAGAAAAGCCACCGGCAGGATGGAGAATAGCCACCAGTGGGATGGAGAAAAGACATCAGGATGGAGGAACACCATCAGGGTGGAAAAAAGCCACTGGTGGGATGGACGAATGCCACCAGCAGCTCCTCCCCAGCACGGGGAGGAGACACGAACGGTGTCAGCAGCAGCTTTTTCTCCCCCTCCCAATGTTTTCCACCCTGGGATGGGGGGGTGCAAGTGCCCAGAGAGCCCCCTGTCCTCTCCTCCTGCTGCTTGCCCCAGAAATGTGAGTCTCTTGCTGCTCCTTGGTGGCCGGGTCTCGTCCTACAAGTTCTTTTTCTGATTTTGGTGTGTCCCCCTGCCCAGCTCCAGGCAAATCTTCTGGGTTCCCCCTGCTCCGTGCCAAAAATTCCTCCCATTCCCGATGATTTCCTAGGAAATCCTCCTGAGGGCATGGACCAAGCATGGTTCCTCTCGTTAGCCACCAGCCAAGGAGCTTGGGAAATGGGCTGCAAGGAGCCAAAATGGGAGAGGGGAGAGCTGAGACTTGTCCTGCTCCCCCTCCTGCGGCACCATCCCGCTCCCAGGCTTGTGGCCATCATCCCAGTTAGCCACTGGGCAGTCCCCCATTTCCCTGCGCAAACCACGACATGGGTGCAGAGGGAACCATCAGAAAAGTCGTGTCCCCCCCCAAAAAAAACCCCCCATAGATTCTGCAGAGAAACATGGTCAGACTTTGCTCCAGCATCTCTGCAAACTCAAGAGATGAGGCAGAAGATGGGATTGATGCTGGTCCCTCTGCTCTCCCAGAACACACCCAGCCGTGGCCACCCTCCACGACCTGTTCCCAGCTTGGGCACCATCGATCCCCCACTTTTCTGGGATGGGGGGGCTAATGATGCTCCCTCCTCGCCCAGGAATCTCACCCCAGCGCTGGCCCCAGCTCTGGAAACCTCTGCTGAGCTCTGGAAGGGATGTGCCTCCAAACCAGGCGTCTCAGCTCCCTCTAGGGCCAAAGGAAAGGAAAAAGCACTCCCAAAAGTTGCTCCACCTGCTCTTAAAATCCTCCGTGGAGGGTCCTGGGCCGCCCCCCCCCGGCTCTGCAGTGAGAGCCTCCATCAGAGACGGGTCTTGGGGTCCCTAACGGTGATGCCTGTGGCCACCAAGGCCATGAGAAGCCAGCACTAGTTGCCTTCAGCCAAGCTCAAGATGCCAGAACCCTGTGCTTCAATACTCCTGCTCCACCAGGGAAGAGCCTCGGGCGGTGGTTGGACATTTGAAGCCCCCAAGGGAGGAAAAAACCCAGGGGGGGGTCCCAGAGCCACATCTGTGAGCCCCACACCCTCCCAAACGCATCCCCAACCAGACCAGACAGTGTCATGTTTGTCCCTTGACCCCTTCTCCTTCTCATCAGCCCCCCCAGGAACGAGGGGAACCTCCCAGTGGTGGGGACATTACTGAGCACAGGGTGAAGAGGGGACAGGACCAGGACCCCTCCGACGTGGAGAAAACCTTGGGGGGGTCCTCACAGAACCCCCAGCCCTCCTGGCGAGCAGATGGGGACGCGGGGGGGGCCACGAAGGAAATAGCTGCTTTCTGGCAGACCTGGAGGCCGGTGGCCAGCGGAGGGAGGGAGGGAGGGAAGGAAGGGGCCTCCGAGGTTGCCCCCCCGGGAGCTCCTGGCCATGTGTGGTGGCTCCGTTCCCAGCCTGAGCTCTCATTTCCTATCGGAAACAACCGCATCCATCGCCTTTCCCTTTCGGCTCCGTGCCGGGCTGCCCTGTCCCCCCCACCCCCAGCTCCTGCGGGTGGCCTGTCCTCCACGGGGCCAGACCCACGGGGTGGAGGCACTCGCGAAGGAAGGAGAACCCCAAAGCTGTTCCGCTCCCTTTTTTCTCCCTGGGCTAACGAGGGCAGCCAAAGGAATCGCCCAGCACCTCGTTAGGTGGTTAATTGCAGAGGTGGGGCCTCAGCAAAGCGTCTGCAACTGGGGATGGAGAGGACTCACCCAAGCCTGGGCAGGGAAGGGGGTTTCCTCTGGGGTCTCCTCCTCAGAGCATCCCCAGGGACAAAGGGGTGGCCACCTCGGGCTTGGGAAGCCCCTCTCCCTCCACTCCCCGGGGGTTGCCACCTTTTCCCCACTCCATTGGTGAAGCCACCTCGTTGAGCAAGAGGGGACCGATGAGATTTCCATGAACAAACTTCCTGCAGGGAGCAAAGGGCGGCCAGGACCACGTCCCTGCCCGATCACCACCACCTCCTGGGGACGTACGCACAGAGAAGGGACCGCTAACTGGTGGCCACGGGGAGGAGGAGGAGGGCAAGCCCAGGCTGAAGGAGGTACCTGGGTGGGGGGAGAGGTGTGGGACATCCCTTTTAAGAGGCTGTCAGTGCTTTTTGTGTCATCGCTCGCATGGACACGTCCCAAGGTGTGAGCTGGCCTGGTCCTTCAGCTTCCACCCTCTGCCCACAGGCGATGGCGGCCACCACGGTGACCGATTCTGGGGGTGTGAGGATCATCACGGAGGTCATCCCGCCCACAGACCCCCGAGCAGCCCAGCTGGCTTCTGGTTCCAAGCCACCCGCCTCCACCATGTTGTCGTTTCAAGTCCAAGGCTTCAGAAAAGCTCATCCCAAGGCGCTGGGGGTGAGACACGGGGTCCCCCAGGGAGACAGGGCACCCCAGGGATTATCCTGCTTGAGGTTCTCCTCAGTTGGGGCAGAGGTGACATTTGGGACCAGCTCTCTTTGCTGAAGGACACGGTGTGGCTGTGGGATGGGTTGGGACACGGCCAGCACCGATGGTGACATCCATCCTTTGTGGGTGCTGGCAGAGAGGCAGCACTTTGGGGCCAAGAGTGACCCGGGGCCGGGAGGGGGGAATCCCTCTCCTCCATCCTTCCCCCCAGACCATCCATATCTTCACTGGGATCGTCCACATCTGCTTCGGGATCATCCTGACGTTGTCAGAGAGAGGGACCTATTCCATCCCTGTGGCCAGCGGGGTCCTCTTCTGGCTCGGGCTCCTGGTAAGCAGGGACATGCTTGATCTTTACTTTGGTGAAGGAGGATTTTGGTGGATTTGGGACCAGATTCCCTCATTACCAGGGTCCCCTCTTACCCCAACATCTTCTGGGGTGCCTCTGGGGATGAAGGGAGCTCCACGTGCAGCCCCTCATAGCTGGAAGGGTGGCAAGATGTGCAGGGATGGGTGACAGGGAGGGGGTACTGCTGACACCCTCCTTTCTCTGTTTTCGGAGCAGCTCCTGCTCTCGGGCTCTCTGCTGGTGGAAAGTGAGAAAAGAGACAACATCTTGCTGGTAAAGTGTCCCCCCCTGGGCATTGCTTCTGTGACTTGGGCTGGTGGGTCCCCTCCGCAGCCTGGCTTCACCCCGCAGGGTCTACAGCGAGACCCCCCTCTGTGTCTCACCCGCCTCATCAACCAGAGGATGGGCAAATCCTTCACGCTTCAGGGCTTCCACCAGCCCCTTGGAGCCTGGTGGAGTCATTCTCGGATGATGGGGACAAAAGGTGACACGGAGGGTGGGTGCCTCGGGTGGCTTCTCCAGGAATCTATTGTCCTGAGTTGAATAATCCAGGTCGGAGCCCTCCACCTGGGCTCAGGCAGATCAAACAGACCAGAGCAAAGTGGCAGAATCACCTCTCAGCAGGTCCAGAGAGGTGATTCTGCCACTTTACTCTGCTCTGGTGAGACCTCACCTGGAGTATTGTGTGCAGGGCTGGAGCCCTCAATAGAAGAAGGACATGGACCTGATGGAGAGGGTCCAGAGGAGGGCCACAAGGATGATCAGGGGGATGGAGCACCTCTGCTCCGAGGACAGGCTGAGGGAGCTGGGGTTGTTCAGCCTGGAGAAGAGGAGGCTCCGGGGAGACCTAATAGCAGCCTTCCAGTACCTGAAGGGAGCCTACAGGAAGGCTGGGGAGAGCCTGTTTAGAAAGGCCTGCAGTGACAGGACGAGGGGCAATGGCTTCAAGCTGGAGGGGAACAGCTTTAGACTGGAGATGAGGAGAGGGTTCTTCACTGGGAGGGTGGTGGAGCACTGGGACAGGTTGCCCAGGGAGGTGGTTGAGGCCCCTTCCCTGGAGATATTCAAGGAGAGGCTCGACGAGGCCCTGGGCAACCTGGTCTAGTTGGGGGTGTCCCTGCTGACTGTGGGAAGGTGGGACTAGATGACCTTTGGAGGTCCCTTCCGGCCTGGGCAATTCTAAAAAGAAACCTTGGGCTGTGTCTCCCTCGGCTGTGGGGCACCTCACGGGGGTCTCTGGCAGGGTGGGCATCCTGCTGCCACCCGCACGGTTCCTGGTGGGTGCTCTCGGTGGGGGCAGAAAGGGCCAGGACAGAGCTGCTGATGGCGAGGTGACCCCCCCACAGGTGAAGACCTGCTGCGTCATCAACGTGGGTGTCATCCTCAGCACGCTGGTGGCCACCCTCCTCCACACCACGGCCATCACCCGCGACATCCCCGGCTGCGAGCACAACACGCAGTACCAGCTGAGACCCGACTGGTGCTCGGACATCGAGAACAAGGTAGAGCCTCCCGGTCCTAGAGTATTTATAGGTGTTGATCAGATCCCCCCCTCAGTCTTCTCTTCTCCAGACTGAAAAGCCCCAGGTCCCTCAGCCTTTCCTCATGAGAGAGATGCTCCGGGCCCCTCATCATCTTTGTAGCCTCTGCTGTCCCCTCTCCAGCAAAATATTTTTGGCTGGATATTAGGCAAAATTTTTTTCACTGAAAGGGTTATCAGATGTTGGAATGGGCTGCCCAGGGAGGTGGTTGAGGCACCATCCCTGGAGGTGCACCATTACCCTGGAGGCCAATGGTATCTTGGGTTGCATAGGGAAGAGTGTAGCCAGCAGGTCAAGCGAAGTCATTCTCCCCCTCTACTGTGCACTGGGGAGGCCACAACTAGAGTACTGCGTCCAGTTCTGGGCTTCCCAGTTCAAGAGGGACAGGGAACTACTAGAAAGAGTCCAGCAAAGGGCAACAAAGATGATTCAAGGATTGGAGCATCTCCCTTATGAGGAGAGACTGAGAGAGCTGGGACTCTTTAGTCTGGAGAAGAGAAGGCTGAGGGGAGACCTTATCAACGCCTACAAGTATCTCAAGGGAGGGTTGAAGGAGGAGGGAGCCAGACTCTTTTCAGTGGGAGGGGCAACGGGCACAAGTTGGAACAGAAGAGGTTCCACTCAAATATGAGGAGAAACTTTTCACGGTGAGGGTGACACAACCCTGGAAGAGGCTGCCCAGGGAGGGTGTGGAGTCCCCTTCCTTGGAGATTTTCAAGACCCGCCTGGATGCTCCTGAGTAACATGCTCTAGCTCTAGGCAATCCTGCTTCAGCAGGGGAGTTGGACTAGATGATCTCTATGGTCCCTTCCAACTCTAAAATTCAGTGAAATTCAGTGAAAAGACGGGTTGATGTAGTGCTGGGAGGTATGGTTTAGTGATGATGCTCCTTGTTTGTTGTGTGGGTGTCTATTTTTGTCAGTTAGGTTGACGGTTGGACAAGATGATCTTTGAGGTCCCTTCCAACCTAGAAGATTGATTCTGTGATTCTGTCCTGCTCCAGTGGTGGGTCTGAGCCTCCCTGGGTGGCTGCCCACGCAGGGGGAGGGGGACGAAGGACCCGCTGGGTGACTCCCTCCCACTCTCCTCCTCCTCGCAGATGCTGAGCAACTGGCTGGACTCCATGTTGGTCATCTTCTGCCTCCTGGAGTTCTGCACGGCGGTGGCAGCCCTGGCCTTCGGCTACAACGCCGTCAAGCAGCACAACTACACACGGATGGTGAGGGGGACGGGGCCCCAGGGACACCAATTCCGGTGTTTCTGCGGCAGCCGGGCAGCATCATTCTCCCCCTTCCTTCCTCTGAGGGGCAGCCCCAGGGAGGTCTCTCTCCGTGACCCCAAAAAGCGAGGTTTTCCCCACTTTTTCCTCTCCCAGGCGCTGTAGCCACGGCGGAGCCCGCAGCCATCCCGTTAAGAACCACCGGACGCCCCAGCCCCGCTGCAGCCGAGGTGTTGAGGCCCAGTGGGGCCTCCTCGGTACCGGATGGTGGAGCCAGATGGAGCCCAAGGCCCCTCCGTGCCCCCGGGCCTAGGCCTGGCCCTGGGAAGGAGGCCTCTCTCTGAGGGTTTGGCCCCCAATAAAGGCCTTTACCCCCAGCCCAGGCCACACATCTCTCCGGGACTCCGTCAGGGAGCGGGGTGCCGTCGCACCGGGTGGGATTAGGCGGGGTAGGAGGGCACCGGGAACGGGCCGCCGTGGGGATGGGCACGGGTACGGGCCTGCCCGGAACAAACATGGCAGCCCCCACGTAGCGCCGTCAGGGAGGCGGGAAAAGCTGCCCGACACCAAAATGGCGCTCGTGGGGATGCTCGGCTGCGTCGCGCTTCCGCCTTTCGCATGCGTGCGGCGGCGCGCCTCCTCGTGACGTCATCTCCCGGCGCCGGAGGGGAAGGTGGGCCGCGTGGGGAATGGAGGGGGAACGCGGGGGGGGCCCGGGCTCTGAGGAGCCCAACGGGGAGACCCCGGTCCCGGCCCGGAGGCGTCGGAAAGCCGCCAAGAAGCGAAAGGAGGCGACGGTGGCGGTCACCATCCCGCGGGGCAGGCCCAAGTCCGGGCGGGTGTGGAAGGACCCCGGCAAGAAGAGGTGGGCGCTGTGGATGGGGGGGGGTGTTAGGCCTCTGGCAGGGGTCTCCAGGGCCGGGGGGAGGCTCTT